CTGTCGATGCTAATGCACTACTCGATGCTAATGCACTACAATATGACAAACTCCTCAGCACACGTACGAAGTGCTGCACATGGGAAACACATAGACAGAAACGGCCGACGCGCCATGCCGACGCACGTAGGGGGCGGCCATTTCGGAAATGCCGATAGCAATAGAATGACCGTATTAATTTTTTTCGTACTCGATTCTTACGCGCATGCGATTTATGAACGCGCTAAACCGGAAAAAAGGAGCGCGTTAGATTCGAGTAATTGCGGTGACCGGCTGCCGTTACTGTTGTGCGAGTGGTTCCAAAGTTCTGTTTTCGTCTGATTTGGCTGGATAGGTGGTGCCCAGTTGAACCAAGCAAGTAGAAAATCGTTCAATGGCCATTGTTGCTGCTGTGGCTCCCGCTGCTTTTGCTCTGCTGCTGCTAGCGTGGGTGGCCGCGCAGTAAAGGCGGTCAACTTTGGCCACGGCAACAGTGGCGTCAATAAGACCACTTTGAGGTGGGTGACTTAAAGTGCACGGACGCGATCAGGAATTCTGAAATGTGGTTTTATTTTAATATAAGCACTTCCTTGGCACAGGAGATTTCTGGACCGCTATTTCAACAATCAACGTCAACTTTATATTTGCCTGTAGTGTCCCTCTGAAAGCCTAGATTTTAAAACTGCTGCCACATACATTTACCCTCAGGCACTTTGCTTTTATATGTACTAACTACTTTTTGCCTTAGGGACATTCCACCCTTAGTTGGAAAGATATGATACAGAGGTGGAAGCAAACTTCAGTGTTTTGGAGCAGCTTTGGGAGTTGGAATAATGCAGTTTTGCAGCAGCTCTGGAGCAGAAAAATGTGTGTTTTAGAGTATCATAATTTAGTTTCAGAGCAGATTTCTCGGGCCAAACATCACTGTTAATTATAATTTTTGCTTTCTGGTAAACCAAAAAATTCTGTGGTTTTTACAAAGCATGCAATGCTGATCAAGCAACCAAAATTACCCAAAATTTACATATATTTAACTTTGCAACATCCAACCTGAAAGCGCAGCAACTCACAAAAAAAAAAAAAAACACAGGCGGTGCTCTGGACAGCTACTAGACCTCATATGAATGAAAAAACTTAAAGGGACACTAAAAAGAAACAATGAGTTGTTTTAGATTCATAAACTGCACTCTTAGAACTCTAACGCCATAAGTTTTAGTGACATAGGTTCATTGATAGCAGCGAAAATCAAGCTATGTAGGACCCAGTAGACGTCTTCGAAATTCTATGACGTCGCAGTGTTTGGTGCAGGAATGTCAGAGTGGCGTCTCCACCTACAGTTTCTTTTTGCACGTTTTCTCGCTGACCAAGTGTCATGTTGCAGTAAGAGTGGTGTTTTCAAGATTGGGAAAGTGTACTTTGTTAATACTCGAAAAAAAAGCGTTTTGCTCTTTAGTGTCCCTTTAATGTTAAAATGTTGCAATGTTCCAAATGTGATTAAAATACCGCATCCAACATGAACAGCAACTCAACACTAGAGATGGGCTAATATAATAAATGTTATCTTTATACTGAACCAATTAAGCCTACAAAATAAATGTAAAAAACTTATGTTCCAGTCATTGTAGCTCCGCAGCGGACATGAGAACCACAAAGAAATTTAGATGAGCTCACCGCACCATTGCTAGGCAATTAAGTGAAACCTTTTTAGCTCTCTGACTAGCCTGTGTAACGCTGTCCCCCCGTAAGAACTCGCCGCGTGCCGCAAATGTTGGCGCGGTGCCAAGTAGGTGACGCAGATGCTGCACGTTGAGGTCACGCTCACCTCGCAGTGTGCGCTGACGTCACTATCTCCCTCGCCTGCTGTGCACTCGCCGTTGCACCCGCAGCTGCTGCAATCACCACTCCCTACACCAACAACTCGTACCAGACGCGCGCCTAACTAATAATAATAACTAATAAACCAGATGCGCGTCTAATGTATGCGTTGAAACATGTCTTACGTGTCACTTACAGGACCTATGCCAGCCATCGCTTCAAATGAATTTTTCAGTGCTTACCGCAGCACCCGCATTTGCGCCGTTCAACCCGTGACGCCACCCGTGTGCAATGCTGCTTTGCATCTCATCATGGATCCCTTCGAGGACATGGTCTAATTTTTTCATTACGATAGGAGGAATTACATGAATTCTCTCCAAGTTTTCGCCGTCGTCACCATGTTCCCCGTAAACTACATGTTGGTAACATTTCTCCGCCCCGCATGTTCTATCCACGAAATTGCGCAAGCTTAGGTGATCAGGGCTGCTTAAGCAGTGATTAAACAAGACGGCTGGTCTCCGTCACTAGAAGGCCACACACGTTTGCATCCCGCTGCATGTTAGAACTGCCGTCGAATGCTCAAGCAGAAAGGAAACATGCCACCCGCCGTGAACAAGCATAAAATGACACTGGAGAAAGGTGAGTCGTTCGAGCAGAAGCTGTGAACTTCGTATCTAAAGGCGCAGTTGCGATAGCTGGCGCACCCGCGATCAGCAAGATCAGCTCGTAAACCGTTCAATGTGGTGCGCTCTCATAAGAAAGAGATTGTGATAAAAGCATTTCTCCCTGGTGCGGCCGTACTTATTTTCTTACACCAGCGTTTTGTAGTGTGTCGCAATGTTGGATCCAAAACATTTAGCTGTCAGCTTTCGTATTGGCACAGGGGTCGTGATGTTGAAAATAAATACAGCAACCGCAGTTTTCACAAGCGAACTACTCATTTGAGGGACCTGTGCCCGGAAAACGAAACATTGCTACAGCAATACCGTATTTACTCGCGTAATCCCCGCACTTGCATAAATCTCGCACCCCCCACATCGCCCAAAAAAATACGTTTTCTTTTTTCCTCGAGTAATTATCGCACTCCCGAAAACTGCTGCAATAATGTCGTCTGCTCATTCTAGCCACTTATAATGATAGAGCGCGCCATCTCTCAAGCGTCAAGTGTACTATATTGCACGGAGATTCAATCCAATCTAAGCCAAGCCAAAGTGGCAAGTGCGTGTTGCGGTGTGTTTTGTATGTTGTGTCTGTAATCTTGTCACGTTACGAGGCAATACTGAAACTACACGGCTGCTTTTAAGTTGAAAGTGATAGATCATACACTAAACAACGACAACAGGGCCGCCAGTAGGCCCTTTGGAGTCTACGAGTTTTGTGTTCGCTACTGGTGACGGTAGCTGAAAGCCACCAAGACGCGTTGGGCCTGCCGTGTGACTAAAACTGAAATTATAGGTAAACTTTATTTCTTCAGAAGAAAACTGCGGACGATTCTGTTAAATAGCCATCAGCCCAATACTGACGTCCTACGCTTACTTTTTGAGGGCTCCTGTTGAGCGATGAATGCTACCGCAACGCCCACAAGCTTTGCATATGGTATTCTAATTCTCGACTATTTGCTTGCACTTTTTGTATCTCAAATAAATCTTGCCTTGTGTTGAACCTGTGCTTTTATTGTTGAGGTTTAATTAGTACTTCCCAAAGCTTGCTGTTAGTTGCTGGTGTGAGAATCCCGATTTGCGGCCACTTCGTTTTCTTTTTCGCTCTGTACGTTTTCGTGGAAAGTTCCCCCCCCCGTAATTCTCGCACCCCGAACTTTGCATTGGTTTTCCGCCAAAAAAAGTGCGAGGATTATGTGAGTAAATACGGTAGTACACATCGTAGACTGATAGCAACGAACAAGAGCGCCGGCCGTCAATAATCTGCCAAACAGACAAGTGCGTCGGCATTTATACATTTGCCACTGAAGATTCAAGAGTTATCGCTAGTGAGTAAGTTCTAGAAAAAACTCTAATCGTTGAGCATGTAATCTCATCGGAAGGCACTAAGATTATCTGGTTGGTCCACACTCATTCGGGCATAGTTTGCACAAGGCAGCATTACACGTGTAATAGTGCGGTAACAAAAAGAGAAAGAAAGAAGCTCATACGGCATTGCCATTACAACATTACAAATTGTTGCTATTCCAGTCATCGCTTCCTCGGTGACACTGATTTTTATTTTTTTAGTTTATATGGCGAAAAACTCGCCGCAACGTTGCCGAGCAACAGCCGAGCGCTTGTTATGCTTGGCAACGATGCGGCGAGTTTTTTTGCAACACCACTGCCGTCTTTATAGTTTGCCTAACAGCTTTGCTGTTAGAACTTACAGTAGACTCTCAGTACGGAGCCCCGCCGTGGTGGTCTAGTGGCTAAGGCACTCGGCTGCTGACCCACAGGTCGCGGGTTCAAATCCCGGCTGCGGCGGCTGCATTTCCGATGGAGGCGGAAATGTTGTAGGCCCGTGTGCTCAGATTTGGGTGCACGTTAAAGAACCCCAGGTGGTTGAAATTTCTGGAGCCCTCCACTACGGCGTCTCTCATAATCATAAGGTGGTTCAGGGACGTTAAACCCCACATATCAATCAAGACTCTCAGTACGGAAATGGAACTAATGCTTAAACGGAATTACTGCTTGAACGTAACTATTGTCTCTGCAATGCTTGCTTTTGGGCTTGTACTCTGCAACCATGTTCACCTCTCAGTAAACGAAACTCCTGTTAAATAGAACATTTTTTTTCCAATCCTTTCAGGTTTCGTTTACTGAGAGTCTACTGTATATAAAGTTGCAAAATGAGGTATGCACACAAACGCCACCTTTACAAGAATCATCCACTCTGTTCATGTGGCGAAAGATTCAAGCGTGAACCGAAATATGACGTTTGATATGGACACGGAATTTTGGACCCGGTTGTATCCTTTGTGTAGCCCACATGTTTTGCACGGTCGATGATATAACTCAACGAAATTTGGTGTTGGATGTGCAAATCGCCATTTAGGAACAGCTTGGCGCTGCAAGTCAGACTGGCGCAGCACTTCTACCCCTGCGATACGATTTAATGCAAGGTGAACCGGCTATTTCACAGGCCTCACAATGCAGAAGTTCAGCTGTATGATAATCACAAAACCTGACTATCCCAACTACTTCAGTCGATTCGGAAGCACTTACTTTCACTGCTGAGGTTGTTTGCCGTGATGGAGGACTCCTCAGCAGGAGCAGGCGCAGCTGAAGTTGGAGATGGAAGAGCGAGCAGGCCCGGCTGTGGCAGCTCGAGTACCCTCGGCAATTCTGGGCGTTGCTTCTTTGCCTGGTTCCAGTGGAAGCAGTAGCAACACCGGAATGCTGCAATTGAGCAAGAAGCAAGGCGTATTACCAGACGCAGACACAGTGTGAGTGATGCTTTTTTTTATGAACATCATGAAAAAAAAGACAACCATCCGTCTCTAGTGGAAGGCCACAGCAAATTCCATGTGGTAATGTTGGAGGGTTTAATTAGCATCAAACAATCTGAATGTATTTAGCGTTTCACTTTATAGTCCCTTTATTTTGTAGAAACCTTCTTATAGTTGCAACATCATCAAAACTATTTAGGTTAGGTTAAGTTTCTGTATCTCTTCAGCAAATTGGATTGAAAGTAGTACCCGATGCTATATTATAAACTTATGTCTCTTTAGGCCAGTTCTGGCGTAACTCTCGTAGGGTTTCGGGCACTAGTAACACCATTGTTACGTTGCAGCTGTAGGAACATTCCTGTATGATGTATTATGAACTGGCACTCTCAGCTGTGTCAAGTGCAAAGTGGCCATGTTGAGCTGTTTCAGGCGGAAGTGGCCATGGAAAGTGTCTATGTTGACGTTTGGCATCGCTGAGCCTGGGCGACTCAGAGATTACTGTATATGTATACTGGTGTAAAAGCCGCAACACCTGCTTCAGAAGGGGGAATTTCAAAAAAAAATTCAAGGAGTACTGCCAAAAACGTGTAGCAAGTTTTATTAATGGCACTGCCAGTTTTCCTGCGTCAGTCGACTGCGCCGTTGTGCCCAGTGACAGACCGCTACATTATTGCTTTGTGTGGCGCCTCGTTGGCATCGAGTTGATATATTTTTGTCAAATCAGTGTCATCAGTGTTTTGTTTGAGCGAGCACAGGTGAGGGATGATGAGCCAGCATTAGAAATCGTTCACTGCAGGATTTAAATTGCTAGTCATTGTATATGCCAAAAATCACGCCAAGCGTGAAGCTGGATGCAGGTATGATATAGACTTGAGGCGCGTGCATTACTGGATCGAGCAGAAATATGCCCTTCCTGCTACCAATGGAAGCCGAAAAGCCTTCCACGGGAACAAGTGCGAATACCTAGAACTCGAAGGCGAACTTGCGAAATATGTCATCAACACTCGTAGAAATGGCTACGCCGCATTGACTGACATAACAGACACGAAAGTCCTGAACGTGATACCCCAGGCACAATTCAAGGCAAGCCGAGATTGGGCTATGCAGTTTATGAACTATAACCAGCTCTCTATCCACCCCCAAACGACGATTTGTCAAAGGCTTACAAGAGAGTATGAAAGCCATGTAATAAAATTACATCGCTTTGTAAATAGTTTTACAAGGAACATGAATACAACCTCTCTCAAATTGGGAATGCAGACCATACTCCTGTGTTCTTCGATACACCAGAAAGCATCACAGTGGACTCAAAAGGCACGACAAGTGTGCCCGTGTGCACGCCAGACACAGAACATCACGGCAGACTAAAGAAAACTTCCCCCGTATGTCGTGTTTAAGAGATCATCATACGTGCCCTGTAAAAGAGTTTGGTGGGCAAGAAAGTTGTCATTGACTGGGTGAAGACCATCTGGGCAAACGGACCTGGAGGCCTATTAGAGCAGAAGGCCGTCCTTGTTCTGGACAGTTTCGGAGGGCCATTGGATGGACCACATAGAGAACCGACTCACCACAACTGGTACGAATTTGGCCGTTACTTTTGAAGTACTGACGACTGTGCTGCAGCCGCTCGATGACTGCGTAATTTTGCGTAATTTTGCGAAAGCGTAATTTTGCCAATGCTACAGCCATCATAACATGCCTACATAACGGCTGAAGCGGGCATCGATCGAACAAGTGTGTGTATTTTGAGTGCGTGGAGTGCCGCGTCACATGGAGTAGTTACGAAAACATTCAGGGTGACTGGAATCTGACTGCATGAGCAGCACTAATGATGACCATCTCTGGGAGGACGCGGACACCAAGGAGTGCTTCCGAGAATGAAGACAATGATAGTGAAATGGAATCTTAATAAAAACATTCCTGGCAGGTCATTTGTGATTCTTACACTCTGCTAATTTTGCGAAATTGGCACAGACCTTTAGCGAGCTGTCAGCAGCCTGATTCGTGTAAGTGGTGTGCCAAGTGAAAATTTCTAAAAAGTGCGGCCCTTGATACGGTAGCCACTGTTACGAAGGCGCGACGCCAACACGGTCCTGAAGGCGCCACTGCTCCGAACTACGCCGCCAAGGTCACCAGCCGTTTGAGAGGGTGTGTTACTCAGCTCGCGACAGCTTCTGCGCAGAGCTAATAGACGAGCGGACGAGACGGCGGTGAGTTAAGGCAAGGTTTATGTACAGCATAGAAATAGAGGCGTTACATATTCGGCACTGGGGCCCACAGCTTAGGGACTCGAAGAGCCGAGATGTCTTCTCTCACACGCCTACGTCGGCTTCTCTCTACGCATAGGTCAACTGCTGGCACCGCGCCGCTAGGCTTTTTTTTATAGGTACCGGGTGGATCTTTTGCGTCACCAACGTTCAACCAAAAGCGCCTTCTGTCCGCGATGTCAGAACCCTCCAATGGGGACCTGCCACTGGGCTGCGTTGTGATCATCACATCAGGAGCCACTGCGCTTGGTTGCACCCAAGGACGAGTTATGTTGCTACGCATTGCGTAAGACTCGCCAGACTGGAAGGCGCCGATTGCTTCATCAGGCTCATGGGCTGAGGTACCTTGCTGTGCGTTGCGTAAGACAGACCGGCATCACCGCTTGATGATGTCATTGAGTTGATCGCATCAGGCGGACTCAATCGCTGGCCTTGACACAGATTACCTTTGCAAAGGCATTGACGCTCGGTGTGGACTCCCAGGCGTAACAGCACCCCTGCCGCCAGACAATGCGCCGGAAAGACGAGCTGCTTCCACGTTGCTCGGATGTCGGGCGCGCTCGTTCACCAGGCCCCTCCAGGTTTGCCTCCAAGGCCATGGGGAGAATGTAGCTCCAGACACAGTTCCGTGAACATATCCCCTTCTAGAGGATGGATCCCAGCTCCACTGGCTTGTCGCCACAACTTGTTGGCCAGCTTTGCTCGTCTCTTCTGACGATTTTTGTTCTCAGCACTTGACGATGGTTCTGCAACTTGTCAAGAACGGTTCGACAACAGACAACACACGACACAAGCAAGTGCCCTCAGTTACCCGACAGAACACCAGACAAAGTATAGTATAACATATACCTAGCTACGTGTCTATCGGAATTTAGTTCCCTCTACATCAAGAGGCACATGCGGGACACAAGACTCTTAAAAAGAGAACTCAAATTTTTACACGTACAACAACGTAAGGAAATAAAATACAACACAAAGTTGGCCCCTTGAGATCACTCTGGACGAGAGCGCTCAGCTAAGGCCATGATCAGGACAAAATTTTGCCCCGAATCTCCAGCGAGATACCGAAAGGTGGAGAAGGTACTAGCTAAAACGCACGGCTCAATGCATCTGCATTAACGTTTAGCTTTCCTTTTTTTTTTTGTAGCAAACGTCGAAGTTGTGCTGTTGGAGTATCATGCTCCACCTCAGTAACCGACCACTTTAAGGCGACGATACCTGTGCGGTACCAAGAGCTGCTCATACTTGTGACGCACATCTGTGTAACTACAATATGGGAGTCCTTATTTCTCATAAAAAGAAACATTCCTTTTCTTGGTTTTCGAGTTTACGCTTTTCATAAGCGCTTTAATCGAGGGGTCCTCACACTGCTCTCAAATGAGCGTTTCTCAATCATCCCTTGACAGCTCACTCCAACTTTCTGCTACAGGCGAGAGTGTTGCACCCCTCTCGCTCTGACTCGATGGCGCCATGTGGTCTCCTCCGCCGACAGAGACTGCGCCAGTCGCTTCGGCGAAGGGCCGCTCGAGTGACTGCTCAAATGACTCACACGAAGAATTTCCCGTCTGAGGTTCCGTCGACTCGCCGCCAAGGTCACACAGATCAGCAGCTTTAGCACTTGGTGCTTCACCACATTGAACAAGATCAAGTTCCTGCGAAACCTTCCGCGCTAGCGATCACATGAGGACCATGTACGCTAAGTTGGAGAAGAACGATTTACCCTCTTCTTTGAGAAGCTGCTCTGAGTTATTAGAAAAAAGATAAGGAAAATGACCGGGAAGCGCGGCAGACACAGCCCATTCGGTGCGAAGCTTACCGAACGGGCCTTCAATGACAACCGTAGCGATTGGTAAGCAAGCACTCTGCTCCTCGGCGACTTGTCTGATCCACGCGCATTCTCCAGTAAAGTCATCTGGAGACACCAACGAAGGATGGACAACGTCCATGATTGCCGCTGAGTCTCAAAGTGCTGGACACGTTTTCCCATTCACACTCATTTTTTGGAGGTACAGCTCTAACAACTGCATGTTCTTTTCCGATTCTCGAATTGTTGCTGAAGCAATCTTTTGCTTACAGTTTATCGCGATGTGCCCTTCCTTTTTGCAGTTGTAACAATTAGCGGCTTCCGTGATTTAAACGCCTGTGTGGTATCAGTGCGTTGTTTAGAAACCTCACTTGATTTCTCAGCTTCCGTTTGCCCTTCCCCTACAGTGTCCTTCGTAAGAGACTGGTCCTTCCTGAAATTACAGTGCGAAGTGGGTTTCCGCTGATCAGTTTTCTTTGAAAAGCCCTCTTTACTTTCATCCTTTTCAACGTGCACTGCCCTACTATGCAACTTTCGGTGAGTGTAATACTCCTCAGCTAACTCTGCTGCCTTGTTTAGCTGTACTTCGCCAAGCTTGTCCTGCAGCCAAAGCTTGACATCCTCCTCGATGCAGTGGTAGAATTGCTCCAATGCAATGCGTTCTACCACTTTATCGTGATCCTCATAAACACCTTCACCATTCAATTAAATCGGCTTTAAGATGAAACCAGTCAACATGTGACTCATTCCCCTTTTTAGCATACCGGAACCTTTACCTGAAAGCCTCGGGTGACAACTTATAACGTCTCAAGAGCACTTCCTTAACCTCGTCATAGCTCTCGAATGCTTCCCTCGACAAGCACGTTATCACGTCGGATGCTTTGCCGGAAAGAAGAGCTATCAGGTTCTGCGCCCAAAGGGACCGAAGCGTTTCGCTCACAGACATGTTCAAACTTTAAGAGATACTTTGCCATGTCCTCGCCTACTACAAACGGTGGCAGTTGGTTCCGAATTTTATAACCGCTGACCTGAACTGTCACAGAAGCTACGCTAGGCACCTGCGAACACTGTAGGATTGCCAACTCTATTCATTTCAACTCGAGGCGCACCTGTCTCACGGCCTCCTCACGCTCGCGACGTTCACGCCTTTCAGCTTCTTCACGTTTGCGAACTTCTCGCCTTTCAGCTTCTTCGCGTTCGCGAACTTCTACTTCTCGTCTATCAGCCTCCTCGCGGCATGCTTTGATATCTGCCCAGGCCTCATCGACTTCCTCAGCCGATACTCCTTCATCCTTCATGATCTCACGGAATGCTTGCTTTCGTTTTGCACGGCCCAAAGTAAGGCCAAGTTCCTCACAAATTTCGATGAGTTCCTTCACTTTAAGGTTCTCCATCGTTCACATTGGCCTCTTGCTGTTTGCCCCTGTTAAGAATCTACTTGCTGTACCTACTATAAGTCTACTAGCAAGACGCGCAAGCAATTTTCGAACATTGTTGTGTTTGCACCCTCCGCGTTAACTTTGGATTCAAAGCGCTCCGACGTGGCTTGAAATGATCAAAGCTCACTCTAATGCTTCACAAAGCGCTTCTCTAAACTACTGTTACCTCTGCTAGAGTAGTCTGGTGAACTGAGAGGAAAACATCAGGCACTCACCGCATCGATGTCGCTGACGCCGGCCTGATCCCGCAGCTAGCCATACACTGTTACAAAGCGCGCCGCCGCCAAAGTTATGAAAAGCGCCGCGAAACTCGCCTCTGCCAAGGACACCGGCCGCGCCGACAGGCGAAAGGGGCTCGAAGCAACGAGATGTCGTCTCTTGCACGCATATGTCGGCTTCTCTCTGACACATAGGTCAACTGCTGGCGACGCAGCCGCTTGGCTTTTTTTTATAGGCACCGGGTGGATATTTTGCATCCCCAACGTCCAACCAGAAGTGCCGCTGGCCATGATGTCAGAACCCTCCAATGGGGACCCGCCACTGGGCTGCGTCGTGATCATCAAATCCGGAGCCGCTGCGCTTGGTTGCACCCAAGGACGAGTTATGTTGCCATGCATTGTGTAAGACTCGCCAGACTAGAAGATGCTGATTGCTTCATCGGGTTCGTAGGCTGAGGGAGCTTGCTGGGCGTTACCGTATTTACTCGATTCTACCGCGCCCTCGATTGTAACGCGCACCCGATTTCCACCGCGAAAAAAAAAAAAAAGTAAGACATCGATTGCAACGCGCACCCATTTTTCTCGCTGGCCCGCACGATCACACCACTCGAAAAAACGACTCTTTTCGGGAGCGTCTTCCATTTAAATATGAGGTACGGGCGAAGCTTGTGCCCATCTGACGTGTAACAGAGCATTGTCGTCACTGTAGTTTTACCGTGGACCGATGTCAGCACGCGAACTTGCTTCGCCTCCTCCTTCTCGATGGTTGTGGTGCCAGGCATGTCGAAGTAAAGAGGCGTCTGATCGGCATTCCCGATTTGCCCAAGCAGGTAGCCGTTGTTGCGCCGCAAGTTTAGGACGAACCTCTGAAAACTGTGAAGCTTTTCATTGTACTCCTCCGCAAAAGTTTTCGCATATGCATGTTCCCCTTCGGAGGGAAAAGCCTTTCCTCTTCATAAAGTTAGTTAGCCAGCACCTGCTCGCTTTAAACTGGCTCCGCATTAGACCTTTTTCTAAGACTAATTGCATAGCTTGCACTTGAAGCAGGTCTGTCGTCACGGGCCGCTGTGCCGCTCGCTGCTCAAGCACATACTCGCCGAGCAGCTCTTTAATTTGCGCAAACCAACCCTGCTGTGGTCCACTGAAGCCTTTGCGTGAATCTTTGCTGTCGACAATCTTCTGCTTTTGTTTCCGCCGGTCCCGCACGCACGTTTCGGGAACTCCGAACGACCGCGATGCGGCCTGATTTCCGTCCGTTTCTGCACACGCGATGACTTTTCTTTTAAAAGCGGCATCGTGGTGCACTCGAGTTGTTGGAGTCGGCCCTTCCACGCCGTCGATGCTAATGCACTACTAGATGACGAACTCCTCAGCACACGTACGAAGTGCCGCACATGGGAAACACATAGGCAGAAATGGCCGACGTGCCATGCCGACGCACGTAGGGTTTGCCGATGGCAATAGATTTGACCGTAATTTTTTCGTTCGTACTCGATTCTAACGCGCATGCGATTTATGAACTCGCTTAACCGGAAAAAAGGTGCGCGTTATATTCGAGTAATTAGGGTATGTAAGACAGACCGGCGCCGCTGCTTGATCACCTCGTTGAGTTGATCACGTCAGGCGGGCTCAATTGCTGGCCTTGACACAGATTGCATTTGCAAAGGCATTGACGTTCGGTGTGGACTCCGAGGCATAACCCCACATAATGTCTTGTAAACATCACTCGTGACATGTTTCCAGTTCATGCCAGCAATCACGTGGACCCAGAGATTTGTATCAGCTATTTAAACATAAAAGCTTTCATTGGGAGAACATTGTTGGGGTTCTACATTCATCACATTTTGCCTATTATACCTGCATTAAGGGTACAACTTTGGGCAATTTCGTATTGCATATTTAAAAGAACGGTAGCAATCAAAAACAAGGACGCAGAAAAAAAGAAGTTCAGTGCCTATGTTTTCACTTGTTCTTTTTGCGTCCTTGTTTTTTTTTTCGAGCTGCTGTTAACTTTTGAATATATCTGCATGCTCAATTAAAAAGTAGCATCAACAATAAACAATTTCTTTGGCATTTTCCTCCGTGCTGTTGTTTTCTTTATGAGGCTGATTAATGAAAATTAAGTACCCAAGCTATTTAAGAAGCAAAAACGGCTGACCGCACTTACCCAGATACTCGTACTCTTCCTTGAGTGCCATCCCGTTATGCGAGGAGCAGCGGGTGCAGATGAGCGCGTACCGGTTGTTGGGGCCTTCTCCCACGATAAAGTCGATGACTCGATCGAAAGCCGTCCTCTCCCGGGGAAGGATTGGCCGGGGCAGAGCAGGCATTGGCAATGGGCCTGAATTTGTGCAACGCCATGCCGGCATTAACTCTCATACAAAAGAAGACACGATCCTAAAAATAGGATGCCGGGTCAGTGCAATCACATTAGTCGTAAAAACACAGAAAGAATGATTGGTTATGGCACTGTTAAAAAGACACCGTAGCGAATATTGATTTCTCTTATACTACAGTCGAATCTCGATAACTCGAACTCAGAGAGGGGCCCGAAAATTTGTTCGAATCAAAAGAAGTTCGAACTAATGAAAGCTAAATAAACAGAGGGCTCTCTATGCAGTGGCGCATGTACATTGAGCTGACACACGAGGGGGAAGTTTCAGAATACTTACACTTATTCACAAATCACAGGACATCCGTCATTAATTGAAGTAATCGGTGATGCGTGTCTGCACATGTTTGCCTTGCAGCGAGTCGATCAATTTCGCACTCATCTTGCAAAGCATTTCTAGTTCGGCTTCAGGATTCTCCTGGCAAGAGAAGTATCGCGCAGAAATGTCCAGCGCCGACACTTTTCAAAGACGACGACAACGACGACTGCATAGCGGAGCCGCAGCATGGCCAGCACGTGATGAGAAAGGAGCGTCTCCATGCGGAGAGGCGTTGCAGCTTGGGCTAGTTGTTATGACATGACGATAGTTATAGCGCAAGAACAGAACGATGACACAGAGACAAGAAGGTCCTTCGTGTCCTTCTTGTCTCTTTGTCGTCGTTCTGTTCTCGCACTATAACTATCGCCACGTGTAGAAAAGCAGATCGGCATTTGAGCGAAAACCAAAACTCCACGGCAGCTTTTATATTTCTTTTTTTGCTCTCTTCGCGAGCGTCTTCGTAAGGAGAAAGGTTACGTGGTAGGGACGGGAAAGGGGGAAGCATAGCTCTGGCGCGTGAGAGACCCCCCCCCTCAAGGCGCAGAGCCGTGCTCCCGCAAGGGGCAAGGGCTGCAGAAGATAGGCACTGCGCTGTGCTCCCGACCGGGCTGCAGAAATTAAGTGCCTTTCTCCTCTTCTAACCACTACCACCACCCACCCCAGAGGATAGTGCCTTTTTCCTTTCCTTCAATCACACATTCATTCAACCCCGCGACAGCTTTTTTTTTTTTTTTTCCTCTCTCTCTTGCACACACGGTGTTGGAAAGAGAAGGGTCTTTACGTGGCGGGGATGGAAAAGGGAGAAGCGCTGACACAAGCGCGTCGCAGATCGGCATTTGAGAGAGAGCAAACATTCCACCGCAGCCTTTTCTTCCCTTTTCCTTTCCTTTGCGCGCAGCGTTGAGGGGTCGCAGGTGTCGACCAAGGGATTGGGCGGGGTGCTGAGAGCATTTTCGGAGCGCAGTATGTTCGAATTAACCGTCGCTAGTGCTTGCGCGTTCGAATTACCGTGCGTTTTCGCCTATTTGAATACACATAGCTTTGACGGGACCTCATCGCGAGTTCGAATTAACCGGAAGTTCGAATTAAGCGTGTTCGAATTCACTGAGATTCGACTGTACTTGTATGTCACCCTCCCACAATACAGAAATCAACAGCCTTGCGATAAGAAGCTTGGCAAGCCAGAAAACAGACAAAAACAAAAGAAAGGAAGCAATAGGGCCTGAAGTTCATGCACCAGTTCACCCCGATTATAATTTTGATAGAGTCTTCTAAGGCTAGAAAAATGTTTAGTCAAGTGAAATGATTCAATTTCATATGTTGTGCTCTATGGGAGCCAGACAGTAACTTCAATGAGGTGTAGCATATTTTATTCAGTAAATATGATAATAATACAGAATCCCTACAAAATATGTAAGATTTTCCCAACCTATGGCTGCTCTCGCTTCTAAGCAGAAATAAGAAAAAACAAACTTATTTGTCTTCACTTTCCTTTTCTAGCGAAAATCAATGATCAAGAAAATGGCGAAGACAGCATACTCAAAGAATGGCCTAGACGTCTAAACTGATTTAGTGTTTCACTTCAGTAACCAAAAAAGTGCACAAAAATAGAAACAAGTAGCAATGACAAGCATGTGCACCAACTTCAGGCTCACCTACTTAAAAAAAGTCATGACCTTAGTAGCACTGCATGATAAATCGCTACGAACTATGTTCACACAACAACTATAGCTAAATCTGTAAAACAGGAAGAAATGTCGCATTTGTCTGCCGAAGTTAAGGATGCAGCACATGCCACACACGACCGATTTCATTTTCCAAATGCACTGCAATGGAACCGCCAGAACTCAAGTGCTCCAATTCCATGACAACATCCAAATTATATGTGATTAGCATGCCTAGCTAGGAAAGCGTCGTTTACACAATAGCCATGATAATATAGCAACATAATGGAACAAGAGCATACATGGCTGAGCTCATGTGTTTCATCCTAATAGAGAGAACTGGCGAGAAGTGAGCTGCTTACTTTTTCCTCCTTGAAGTAGTACAACAAATGTTCCTTTTACTCCCACCCTTCGGAACACTGCTCCATCAGAAGGTGTAAGGCTAAATAGCATATCTTCAATTCCTTCACAAGGTTTTGTTCTCATCCATTCTTCAATTGCACATGCAACCCCCTCATATCATTTGATGTGACACAGGATGCAGGTACGATGATGTATCACAGGATGCAAAGGAGTCTCAGGGTATAGAGTAGGAGTGAGAATGAAGGTGCAACGGCCTGCTGGAAACCTTACACGGTGTTTTTTTTTTTTTTTTCCCACGATGTCTTTAAATGATAAGCTACTGCAAGAACCTGCAGGGTAACCTCCAAATTGAGTACAAGACATCTTATAATCCGCCACAAACTGAATCACGAAGCACAGCATTTACCCGCAGAGTAGCACCAGTAAGCCCACCGAGTCATATTATAAAACATTCAATGAAATGAATCCTTTACAAATAACATAGCCACACAGTAATCTCTACTGCACGGATGTCTTACAATAAAAGAACACATAATATTTAATGAGTTTTTCAATTCCTTGAACTGCTTTTGGTGTACCACCAGGAGATACGTTATTTGCAATCACACCACCTGCTTCATGTAAGTGTCATACTTATTCTTTCTCCCCTGAAGTATGCATACTCTAGGCCTGCTGTGAGACAAAAAATGTAGCAGCTCGTCATAACTGTGCTGCTAAGGGAAATTGGACAGGGAACGTTCTTGATTGAAAGAGAGACTACACGACAGATATGAAAGTCAATCACCATTGTCGACCAGCAACGAGGATTGCAGTAGAAATCGCTGTCAATCAGATACTTTCTGCAATTTAATTTTATTGCTATAATAGCACTACCGTTTAGACGCACGTAAGAGCAGCATATTCCTTTCACAATATAAAAGAGGTAGCAGATCTCAGATAGAAAAAGGCCACTAGTTCCGATTTCTTCAACAATGAGAAAGGTAGTAAATTCTTTTTTTTTTTTTTTCTCAGTGGTGGGGGGAAAAGCGAGACTTTTGTCCAACATGACACTAATCATCATTAGTACCCCTTCTTCCTTCCTCCTACTCTCAACTGAATGTAATTTAACGTTTCAATTTTCCTGTGATGCCCTTTGCGTAGGTTTTGGTATAGATGCGAAGTTTCGCACGGTGATCTGGCACAGCCGGAATCGCTACAGTACACTCTTAGTAAACAAAACTTGCAGGGACCGGGAAAATATGTTCCATTTAACAGGAGTTCCGTTTACTGAGTCATGAACATGAGTGCAGAATACAAGCCAGAAAACAAGCATTGCAAAGGCAATAGTTCCGTTTAAGCAGTAGTTTTGTTTAACATATGTCTGTTTACTAAGAGTCTACTGTATAATGAAAGCCTCAGAGATACAAGAGGCATAAGCACCGTGGCACTGTGAGAAAGGCGGATTGATTAAGTCCTCACCGTGTGCCTGTTGCCCATTCCTCGACATGCCCGGTGCAACTACCATCATGCGACGCTCCTCAAAGGGAGCATTGGGCATAGAGGAGGAAGGCATCTTGAGGTTGGAGTGAGGTAGCCGGGCTCCTGGGCGCATGGGGCCCTTCATGGGCTGAGGGGGAATCATGCGCCTCCGCACATCTACGCATGCCAGACAAACATCACGTTAGGTACAAAGACTGTACACATGTGGAATAACTCTCATCCATTATGCAAATAAGCATTACTCCAGGTGTTATCTGCCGTTAAAGAACTCTGCTAAGTCAGTAGGACGGTAAGCAAACACTCAAGACAAAATGAGGTTGTGGGATTGCAATGGATAGCTCTGTAAAAGGACTAATAAGGGGGGGGGGGGATGAGTTTTTTGACAGTGCCACACATGCGGGAATGCATTGGAGTGATTCAAAAGTTCATCGATTTGCCTAAGCATTCAGTGCCTAGCTTCAAATGATTTACTGACTTTTTTAAGCTGACCAGAGCCAACAAACTAAACGGCTATGAGTTCAACTCAAATTAGTTACGTGTGCATGCCAACTCATACAGAGCTCATACAACAAAAGAGTGATTACTTGAAGATTTATATAACTGATGAATTCTTCAAACGCATCAAAACTAGATGCACAAGCGTGATGAAAATCCATGGACTACCCATCATTTGCAGGGGAACTAAATCTTTTGCAATTTCCTCCCAAGACATGAGCATTATAGTGACCAGCCCCAATGACTATGTCGCTCATGATGCTCAATCCTGACCGTGGCCTTTTTGCTAATGGTGTGGTGATTTGGATTTATGAATAACAGTAATAATTGTTGGGCTTTAACGTCCCAAGACCACCACATGATTATGAGAAATGCCGTAGTGGAGAGCTTGGGAAATTTCGACCACCTGAGGTTCTCTATTGTGTACCTAACTTAAGCACGCGGGCCTCAAGCAGTTCCGCTTGCTTCGAAGGTGCGGCCGCCGTTGCCATTTGGGTCTATAGCATTATGTCGAGAGACAAAACTCCAGGCTCCAAAGTGAGCTATAATGCTTGGCTTGCATGTTCTCAGGAGCCTCGATTGAGTAAGCGCCACAAGGCCTCTTTAAGGCATTACGGGTCTGATTATTGTAAGCACACAACTTTCAACGCTTATTTACGTATCTTAGTAAGCTTCCTTTAATGACATTGCACACATACTTTTTACACATGACGGTTAGCTTCGCTGTTATGTCTGTCATGCAATTTGGCCAGTAAGTGTGCAAAACACAGCACCTTTGCTACTACAATGAGTCAGTGACATAGGTATTTCCGACAGCATAGCGAAAACCGCCGGCACGTCTCACCTGCATCCGTGCCAAGCAATGGCTTGACAGTCTTCTCTTCTACTTTCTGAAACAGAAAAAATTATTTTATAATTTGAAGTCAGACAGTAGGTTCAACAGGAACGAAAGCAGCTTTCATGTTAATTAAAAAGATGCTTCCTATAAATGGCCTTCATTCCAATGCGCAACAAATCGATGGCAATAACCCGTATTAGTTGGATCGAAATGCAACATTATTCCCAATTTGTCGAGCTCTTGGACAAGTGACACTTCATGGCACAATGACAGTTGACGAGGGTTCAAAAAAGCAACAGTAAAAATAAGAAATTGGCTATAGAGCCTTATTAAGTAATGCCACATATTGTTCAATTTCGCCAAGATATGTTCAGCATGTTTACCAATAACTTGCATCCATTATCAATTTCAGCGATGATAACTGCAGCATAATTGCGCAGTGCAAAATAGATGTGCTGGCACAGAGAAATACCATTCCAAATGTTTATTACAGTTATGCATCACACAGTTACTCGCATAAGAGAAAGACACCAATAGCATACCAAATAATTCACATTTTCTAATTACCATACATAAGAAAATGATCATGACCATTAAGGTATCATTTTTTTACCTTTCGAAAGACTACATTACAACACATTTACCAGAAAAGGACAAGGGCTTTATTTAAAGCACTAATTTAATAGAAGAGGAAAGGCCCTAAGAAGGCCAGAGGTCGACCCTTCAATAGAAACTTCCTTGTTAGTAATATCATAGCTTTAGGCTGTCAATAACAAGAAGCTGTAGTCAGGGGTGCACAGCGTTCTTTTTAGGCACCTTTGCTCTACCAGCCTGCTAGAGGCGAACAGTTGCTGTCCATAATGCCAAAATAAATTGAGATAATCATTGTTTATTGCAAGTACTAGGTGCTTTGGATATGCATATATTTGTTATTGTAACGCGAAGGGACGACATTTTATTGCATCCAGAAAGAAAAAATGTCTATTTCAGTATTCAATTGTAACGCAACGATGGACTTTGGGTAGCAAACATTCGAAAAAAGCTTGTGTAATATCCAAATTAATGTAGTAATACAGCAAGTATATAACAGGGAGTGTTATATATGCAGTGATGCAATCTCCAGTAAATTTAGCAGTGTTTGGTGGCCCCACTTTGACATCAACACCAGTGACGGTGTCGATTAAATAAAGAGAATCACTAGCAAAAGGATGTGTTATCAATTATCATTAGCCGATTTCACCAGTGTTCACTTCTCTTACGTTGTAAACAAATGAAGCTTTAGTGCATAAACTCCATAAACGTTCGCCAAATCTATAGCGACAGCGAGAGAACTGTCAGATTATGGGCTGACTGGGTTGCACTCAGCCATTTCTACACACAGCCGTGTGTCGACAAACTTGGGCAATACACATCCTGTGATGAAGCTTCCGTAATATTTCATGTGACAAGCGTTGAACACGCTGACGGGCGAAACAACTTCCTGCGATTGGTAAAACGGGATGCTTGGCACCGTGCCAGCACCATTGCTTGCAGATGCCCTTACGTTCGGTCACACTAAATATGAGAAATACACAAGATCACACCAAGTATTTTTGGCTGCTTGTGAAATGAAATTCCCCATCTTCTGAGGAACCAAATATTTTGAACTCTCTGTATTCAAGTTCAGGTGGTGTCTGCTGAGTCCAAACTATCACGCCATCGAAGGACATTAGATGCCCCTCATTAACTAACATAGAAAAAGCAACATAAAGTAGCTGAACCTAACCCAACTATTTAATTTTCAAACGCCAGAACTTTCCAAGAAACGTATTGAAAGCCTGCCCGAGAACGAAACAAGAAAGAGACGGTCCCCACGTTCGGTGACAAAGACAATGCTTGTACTCACGACACTCTTCCTGAGCGTTTCTGGATCGTACTTCTCCAGAATTTCCTTGGCAACTTTGTAGGTCTCGGTCTCCATGACAGTTGTCAAGCACCGAGCGCTTCTGCTTGATCAGATCTGTGAGCTCTTCGTTCTTCCTTTCGATTTTTCTCTGAAGTACCACTGAAGAAGCTTTTTGGCAAGTACAATTCTGTGGAAAAAACAAGAGTACAAAAAGCACAATGCAGCAGGCCTGAGAAACAAAGACGACCTTCACTGTCATCCGAGCAGGTGGGGATTCTTAACATAGGGAGACTACGCACAACATATGTGCATGTATGTACATGCATAGGGTACAAAAATAAATGCTTACAGCACAGCCCTGTTTTCTAACTACGCTCTATTCAGTACTTTGTAGCAACAACATGAAAGACACACAATTAATGGACTTGTGGAAATTTCCTAACCTGCGTTTCTCAAAATCTGTGATGCCTTTTATGAAATTCGGAACTTAAGATTTTGCATCATGACGTAATGCAAACCTCGGTGTGCAAAAGTGGCAGGAGTACAAAAGAGTCTATACCATTCTATAATAGAATGCAAGCAAGGTTAGAGGCTTGAAATAAACAAAGGGGTCTTTGCATTAAGCAAGATGTTCACAGTCAAATCCCTTTATAAGAAACACTGACGCAGTAGACAAATTACTACAAAAGAGGCCAGTATGCCTACAATGAAATAGGTTATGACAAAAAAGGCATGACGTGCCACCCTGCTTATTAGAAACACACTCTGTAAAAGACAGAAACAGCTCCCCTGTGCATGTCTCTTCTGAAGGGGTTCAACTGTATGTATATTTCATATGAACTAAAGCTTGGCGAATTGGCCCCTGTCAATTCGAGAAATAGGATAAATCAGGTTCATTCCTCTGATCGTAGCAAACATGCTCACTTAACATCGAGTTAAAGCAGTTGAGATGTATTTGGTTATATTCTGGTAAAACTGGACGACCCTCACAGCAACCATAGGTCGAGCCACAAATATGCAATGCATGAAGGTGAAAATGGCATTGGTGTTCAAATGAAACGAAGTGGAGTCTCTTCACTGCGGCTGAAGCCCTAATCGGCAGCAGGGACCTACAGGAATGACAGAAATGTCCAAATGCTCTGTGACTTAATCTGGCTTTCGTAGATGACTTTAGAGAACAACACGGTCAGGACTTATGATTACACTAATGGTGACCACGGTTTTATTATGGCTACTGTCTCCATCCGGCATTGCCAGATCGGAGACAGTACCGCTTTTAAGGAACATGGCAGTGCCCAGAAAACTATCAACATTTTTCTGTACGGTTTTACAAACACTGCGTGCCTCAAGGCTACAAAATTTGGTGCCAGAATTTAAAGCTAAGCAGAACTGAAGGGCAACGGTACTTTAAATTTTTCAATTGGCGTGCATTAAGCACATACTTTCATAACTTAGCCCAACCAAGTACTACTAATACGATGCAAATGATGTCACAGAAAGTGTGTCACCTTATACCTTATCAGCACTGATGTACTTCTATACAGTACTTACTACGTAGTAGTATTAATTATGTAAAGTTTCCACACAAGCTTTTTGAAAAATTCTGTGCAAACTTTTGGAGGAATTTTGCAAAGTTTCTGCAAAGTTTCTTTGCAGCCTAATTTTGTGAGCTCGCTGAGAAAAGCTTCTACAGACCTGCTTTTCACAGGGTGAGGAGGAGCAATTTAGCAACTCGCACTTTCCTCCTTTCTGTTGTGTGGAAATGGCTCAAAGTGTGCATGCCAGTGTGTGTGCAAAACAGCATTGGAGCAAAAGCGCAAGCCAGCGGAATTGCCAGATCGGAGACAGTACCGCCTGCTAAGAAACATGGCAGCGTCCACAAAATCTCCTGTAAGGTTTTACAAACACTGCGTACCTCAAGTCTAAAAAATTTGGTGCCAGAATCTAAATCTAAGCAGACTTGAAGACTAAGCTCGGCAAGGCATAACACACTTACCCTACAGGAAACAGCACCAGAGGCACGATGCACAACACTTGGCCCTGAAGTGTCTTCGGGAAGTACCACACATAAGTTATAATCATACACAAGATGTAGAATAAACATGAGTATAATATCAACGCCCCCACGAGCCTCTTCTGCTGTCGCTCTGTGCTCAATTTGTACTCATTTATGTTTCGGACTTTCTGCAAGAGAGTTGGAAAGAAACAAACGCTGTTAAGGCAACTCTTCGCTTCATAAACAACACACGACCAGAGACACGAGAAATGATAGTAATGCACACTATATTTGTTGCATAACAAATATTGGGCATTTCTGCCCAGCCCATTCTTGCTATCAACACAATCCCTGTGGAACGTTAGCTGGTACTTAAAAAGAGGTTGGTTGTATCTCAGATAATCATTCATCTTAGAAATTGTCTCACTAGCAAAGCTTCATAAAATTTAATACTTTCACAGAATAGTAGCAGTAAAGAAACTCCACATATTTAAAACAACTTGCACACAAATTGTGGCCCTTTTCTTAGCTTCCCACAATAACATTAATAAAAAAAGTAGCTCCTATGGCTGTACTTTATTAAATTGTGTTAAAAGTGACAAAAATTGAAGTAGAAAAGTACATATGTTACCACTGAAACTTGATGTCAACATAACCTAAAAATTTGTACTGTTAACGCAATTTTTTTCTTTAAAGATTCGGCAATCGTACCTTTTCGATGTCGTCTAACAACTCCTTGGTTCCAGGCTTGCTCTGCATGAAAAATGTCAAAAGGTGCTTACACTGTCCCCCTCTTGTGTAAAATCAACAACAAAATAACAAAAAATCCTTATGGCCATGATACAATTGATAGAAACCTCATGCTATTCGGGTATACTAAACTGTTACACTTTGGTAGACTTTCAGTCCTCTAAGTTGCTTTAAAGGGGTGCTCAGAAACTTAGAACATGCAAGAAATCTCAACCTACAAAACACATGTGAACACACAAGCCAAATATTACTCCACTTTTTACAATAAGGAACCAGAACATCAAAGAATAAATCTGCTCACTATATCAGCATTTAAGATTACTCCCCCCCACCATAGACATTAATCTCGCAATCACACAGTGATGAAAAGATGTATAGGAAGATAGCAAGAAATGCAAACAGTGCAAAATCTGCATTCTCCACTCTCTTGCAACCGTCTTTGAGCAGTTGTAGCCTGGATGGTAATAAAAAGCCAATTGACTGATCCATGATACATTCGAGAACCATTCCAGTATCTTTTTACCACTAAAGTATGGGCGTGATGAAAACAGTGCACTGCACCATTTGTGTTTTTTTCCATTCCTGCTTATGATGCAGTGAGAACACAATGTAGCAGTACTGTAAGGGTGTGCCAATACATGTGTGTCATTACATGAACCAAATCAAATAGCGATGAAACAACAAAGGGACATTGAAACTATAGTGAGCCGACAAAAAAAAAAGCCACAATTTTGTAAACTAAACCAGCAGCAACTAGAGCCTTATATTTTATCTCCCTCATGAATGATATTTGATAACTGTAGTGTTAAATATAGCTGCAACAATAGGATTCCTGATGGCACTTCATCAGCAGCTTTAAAATAAAACTCATATATGAATGTTAAACAATATTTATCAGTTTATATCACCATGAATGTCATGATGAGGATAGCAAATTGATTACTCTGTTGCTTTGGCAAAACCGAAGTTTTGAGCAAGAACGCTTTCACCCAGTGATCAGTATAGTGCGAAAAGTCCCATAAAACATAGAGCTGCATGCATCTTGATTCGAAGATTAAAGCAAAACAAGTTTTGCCACACTGTTCCTACGTTTCGTCCCTTTGAGGTTTCTTTCACGGGTGCTTATTATTTTAGAACTATTTGGCATTTGTAATGTGCACTATTTGATTATAGTACCAAATCGAAAAGGATGCCATTTGACTCACTATTCAGAATTTCAGAATACTCACATGCCCTTAGCAGTACATTCAGTAGAGTAAGAGACAATTTTGCGAAAAAAAAAAACAGCTTTGCAAAAACACAATGTAATGCAAATAATCATTCTATATAGCAAAGTAAACATGAAATGTTCGTGGGCTCTTCTCGTGCAGAGCACGATCAAATGAGGAGCTTTCAAGGCTGGCTTATTCACACCTTCTAATGAGTCACATAAAGGTTGACAAGATGGGAAGAGCGAAGGTGAAAAGCAAGTACTCTTGCGTATGCTCTAATTTACTTCACTGCTCTTTCATTTAAAGTTCACATGGCATTCGTATTTTGAATCAAGAGCTTTTGACAGGGCATAACGATTTTTTCTGTGCTTTTCATTTTAGAGTGGACTGCACTGAATCTTGTCTGCAATTAGTGGATTTCTTTTTACCTGTTGGCCATTGAATGGCTATTATATGTGGAACTGAGTTCCTTTTGGAAAAAAATAATGTTTCGATTTTTTGTATACTTTTGCATAACCACATGAAAAATATTAAAAGTTTTCTATCAACTACATCCTCGCAGCATCTACAGCCATCTACCTGACTGCGCACTGATACACAACATGCATTGGTGGGAGAAATGCTGCACATATTTGTTAAATCACTGCATTACAGACTGTCGCTTTTTTTTGCAGTAAAGTCGTAAAACGTTTTCTTTTTCTTCGCGATGTTACGTTAATCCAGCGCGTAAACAGTCACATATTCTGGTAGCTGGTATTTGTTAGTAACACAGAAATTAGCGCACATCTTATTTCTCGTCATATTTTGCACACCAATGAACCCAACAAGCAAACGAAATCTTCGGGTCGTCACTCGTCGCTAAGTTAATACCTCACCAGGAAATAATACAGACGAGCAAGTCGAAAATAAGCGACTGAGGACACCGTCCACCACGGCGAGTGCTTGACCACGCAGAATACCTGTCGAGCAAGTATCCGCGCTGCGACGTGTCACTGAAGATTTCGGCTTTGAATTGCACTCCCTGCGAGCTCTGATTACGACCCGAAGCAGCGGACCAACTAGCTTGAACTTGACCACTGTCGCGATTCGATTTTTTCTTCTTTCTTTTGATTCTTTTACCGGTGGTCAGTGTGTCCATTTACGGGGCATCACATCGCGCGCGTTCCGCAATTGGCGCAGCCCGGCCCCACGAAACAACCGCTACAGAGACAAAACGAGGACGCTGAAGTCTGTTAGGCGGGTATCCGGATGTCAACAAAAGTTCGCTGCTTTTTTGGCTTATCTATAGAAAGCGCCACCGCAGGTCCGCTTTTCAGGTTCAGGTACGGCTCCGACAAGCCAACAAAAGCTGTTCGAGGACGTTGCTCTACGAGGAAAGCACCGCGGCAGCGGTGACATTCATGTTGCGAGCTTTTGCTCACTTCGGACGTGACACCACTTCTCGACACACCACACTGACAGAACGATTAAGCGAAGCAATCGATATACCGTTCGCGCTGATAAGTAGCGCGTGTAAATGTTTTTTCAGGCGCTGTTTACGAGAGGGTGGTCAGTGGTTGTTAGCACGGGTGATCGGCCATTCTTACCTTGAACCTCGACCACAGGATCCCCATTTTTGCGCTCTCCTGTCTTGCGGACCCTTCGGAGAAGCTTCAAATTTGGAGTGACATCGGTGAGCTTCACAGGATTTTGTCTTCGAAGACTCGAAGAGTCGCTATAGCCTCATGGACGTAAATCGTTTCGAATACATTTCACCCGAGAATTTTGCGGCGGAAGCACACGCTGACGAAAACGGAAATGACGGTGTCTGGTGAGACACCCGCTGCTGCCACCTACAAAAACAATATCGAAACCGAAACTTGCAACTCTCACAGTGCTAAAGGGAGTCCTGAAATGAAATACCTTTTCAAGTAATTGTAGAGTGAATTTACTCGGTGAGCTTATTGGCTCACGAATTCAACGCCGCAAAAAATATAAGAATTCGTCCAGTGCGAGTGGAGTTACGAAGGTTTGTCGCATGGTGAAATTGCATTCTCTTGTCGCGACGAAAGCGTTGGAAGCTAAGCTGAGAGGAATGGCAGGACCACAAAAAAACGTCACGCACGCCTCGCGACCTTGAGCACTTTTTTTTTTTTCGAATGTACCACATCCATCCAGGATGTGCTACAGCCACATCCTGGATGGATGTGGCTGTACCCTTGAGATCGGGCGGCGGCTAACGCCACCTAGCCGTAATACTTAGTGAATTAACCATTAGATTTATCTTTTTTTTTCTTTAAATAGTGAGGTGGGCATTCGTACTTTGCATTGAAGGGTTTAATTTTCACTCGTGCCTTGACTTTAGCCGCCAATCAGATAACTTCCTTCTAGTTAAGTCTACCCGCTTAAAGTCTATTTTGCCCTCCCTGTCCTTAAACCCCAGTGCTTTGAAAAACTGTGCCATCATCCTGAACTATAGGGTTAAGCCTTTTACAGAACATTATCAAGTGTTCGGCAGTTTCTTCTTCCTCTCCACACGCACTGCATACCGTGTCTACCCCTTCGTATTTGGCCCGATATGTCTTGGTTCGCAATACTCCCGTCCTGGCCTCAAACAGTAGAGAGCTACCTTGAGTATTATCATAGATCCTTTCCTTGGCAATTTCCTGCTTAAAAGTTCGATAGATCTCTTGTGCGGACTTCTTAATCATGCCAATTCTCCACATGTCAGTCTCCGTTTTTTTTTTTCACTTTCTTCTTAACCGATAGTACTTACCAGTCAATTTCCTGGTTCGCTTCCTGCATTTAGTATCGACATTCTTCATGTACAAGTAATTGAAGGCTTTCCTAGCCCAACGCTCCTCCCCCATTTCTCTCAATCGCTTCTCAAATTTTATCTTGCTGCTAGCTTCCCTGCCCTCAAATGATGTCCATCCCATATCACCTTCTACTCCCTGATTTGGTGTATTCCCGTGAGCTCCTAAAGCAACCCTACCTATTCCACGTTGCTTAATTTCTAATCTTGCTTGAACTTCTGATCTCATGCACAAGACCGCATTGCCGAACGTCAGGCCAGGAACCAAGACCCCTTTCCATATTCCTCTCACAACATAATACCTATTGTAATTCCACAGTGCCCTATTTTTCATCACTACTACATTCCTGTTACCTTTAGTCGTCACGCATATTTCGTGTTTTCTTAGGTACTCGGTACCATTGCTTATCCATACGCCCAGATATTTGTATTTATCTGTTATCTCTAGCGTGACCTCCTGTATTCTAAGCTCACTACCTTCGTTATCATTAAAAATCATGACTGCTGATTTTCTCCCTCATTACCGCAGATGTCCATCAGTCTCTGCAAGTCTTCCTTGTTGTCGGCCATTAGCACTATATCATCTGCGTACATTAATGCTGGTAGTGCCTGATCAATGAGTTTTCCTTGTTTGACTAAAGAGAGGTTGAAGCCAAGTCCACTTCCCTTCAATTTGGCCTCTAATCCTTGTAGGTACATCATGGATAACAAGGGTGACAGTGGACACCCCTGCCTAAGTCCCCGTTTCACCTCTGTGGGCTTGGATACCTGTCTTCCCACTTTATAACTACCTTGTTACTTTTATAGTTTTCCTTTAATAGATTAGTGACTCGATCTTCCACACCCAGTGTGTCTAGTATTTCCCACAAGTCCTCTTGAACCACGCTATCGTACGCACCCTTGATATCCAAAAATGCTAGCCACAGGGGCCTGAGTTCCTTTTTGCTATTTCGATGCACGGCGTCAGAGAGAACAGATTGTCTTCCAACCTCCTGTGTTTCCGAAACCTATTCTGCAGTTCCACCAGCACCCCCTCATCATCTATCCATGCCTGCAGTCTTTCCTTTATAATCTGCATCGCCAGCCTGTAGACCACTGATGTCACTGTCATGGACGGTAGTTGTTTATCTCAGCTTTGTCCTCCCTTGCTTCATAGATCATGCTCATCCTGCTAAGTTTCCATCCATCATGGACTTCACCATCGATTATTGTTCTGCTCATTGCCTCTCTCAAAGTCTGTTTAGACTTCGGACCCAATGTCTTTATCAGCATAATTGGAATGCCATCTGGGCCTGTTGGTGTACTACTTGGAACCCTCTTCTCAGCCCTTTCCCGCTCTCGTTGTGAAAATGGAGCCATTGTGCCACTTGATCCATCCCTGTCTATTGTGCTGCATAAGGCACTTCTTTGTTGAAATTTTTCTGTCACCCTTGTTCCTATATATTCAACAGCTTCGTCCCCTTCTAGCCTAGCACCTTGAGCTGTAGTTATAAACCTCTGCTCTAGGTTTGTTTCATTTCTTAGGAAGTTTAGATGGTTCCAAAATTTCGCAGCGGCCTTTCTGTCCTTTTTAGGTACTTCTGCCAGCCACTGAGCACCCTTTCTTCTAATCTTTTCATTGATCAGGAGGGATGCTTCCCTTCTAGAGCTTAGAAAGATTTCCCATTTTCTTTCAACATCATCTGTCGGTTCACCCCGTTGCTTAGCATGTCTGTGTTCCTTAGAGGCTTCCTGACGTTTTGCTATGGCTCTCTTAACTTCCTCATCCCACCAACTCCTGGTGTCACAGGTCCCGTTAATTCGGGAGGCGATCGCCGGGCTGATTCCAAGGGCTGAGGTATCGGCCCCCCGAACCGCACCACGAAAGCGTGGACAATGTATAAGTGGTCCTTATTGGCGCGCCAGCGGACGCCGGCTGTGGCCCAAAGAACAAGTCAGAGCCGAGACTTGATAAACAAAAGAAAATTATATTCTCAATAATGGCAGATCAAAAACAATACACAAGTATGCACACTCCACAATAGTTGAATACAATATGTCGCCAATCAAACAACGTACTACACAGTACAATCGCCCACACTCGAAACAACGGACACAGGCAACAATACGCACTACAATGCAGTCGCATGCATTGAACAACCAAGACACTTAAAGACTAAAGAGATAGAAAACCTATTCAGTCCAGAGTTCTTGGAACAAAAGTCTGGATGATACTCTTCCGAGAATCACTCACTCAAAGTCCAGCATTGTTGTCGTTCCGCTGCCCCCGAAGTTTCTCTTCCAGGAAACCTCGACTGCCCCCGAAGTTTCTCTTCTAGGAAACCTCGCGTCTTAACTTGGCCACTCTCCAAGCTTCAACCTTCTTCGCCGGAAACACGTCGGCTTCACACACGCAGCTGTTGCCACGCGTCTTCGCTCGATAGCGGTAGACACACGCTCTTGCCTGTAGCTCGAGCCTTTACCCCTCAGGTGGAAATCATCTTCTTCTCCTGCTTTGTCTCCATGGACAAAACCTTCGCCGACCACACGGCGGGATACCCTACGCGCTCTGGCGCTAACTTCCGTCTTCTCCTGATCTCTCCTCTCGGCTGCTCGATTAAATACCCTCCGCGCGAGACTCCAGAAAGTTCTCGTCATTTCGTCGGCGCGATGCGCAGCGAAGGCTGGGTAGAGGGCAAGACGGTTCGAAGGCCGTCCGCGACAGATGACGCAACCCGGCATCACCACGCCCCTTTCCATCTAGAAAATTCCAGTGCTTGCTCGGCCGCCGACACGAGGAGGTTTCGTCGGCGAACCTACGCTTCCGAGGGAGAGAGTCGCGCGCCCGGGGAGTCTTTGGATGTTTGTTTTCTTTTTTTATCGTTGACCTCGCAGCGTCACTCCGGCGTTTCGTCGCAAGAATTTGGCGGCGCGCCCTTTTCGAGCGCTCGTTTTGTGACACTTGGGCATGTGTCCTCTTTTCCGAGGTGACTTGTCACGTGTTTTAGCAAGCTCTAGCCCAAACAGTCTAATTAGATTTGTGTATGTCCAGACATTTTTATTGTCCTCAGTGATTACTTTCTCAATTTGTTTAGTAGCAATTTCTATTTGCCTCTCTGAATGAAAATTTTTCTGTAGTTGCTCATCTTGTCTCCTTCCCACTTTTGCTGCTCCTCCAAAACTTACCTTGATACGTTTGTGATCACTACCCAGACTTCTGGAGCCACCTTCATCTATGTGCATTCCCCTGAGCTTATCATGCATCCTATGTGACATCAGTGCGTAATCTATCGTTGACTGCAGCCTTCCTACCTCCTATGATATTTGCCCTTCACACTTCTCGGTACTGTTGCAAATGATCAAATCAAGCCTTTCACACATATCTATGATCATTTTTCCTGTTGAGTCAGTATACCCATCTATATCTTCTATGTGTGCATTCATATATTCTAGTATAATTATCTCGCACTCTCCTCCTAACTCCTGAATGTCGTTTGATATACACTCTACCATTGCCTGGTTTTCCTCTCTGGCCTTTGCTCCCGTCCACAAGTACACGAATCCAGGGAGTGTCATTTGCCCTGCTACTTTCCCTTTTAGCCATAAATGTTCCTTGCATCCCTGCTTGACTCTTTGCCAACCCATGCTCTTATGTATAAATGCACCAATTCCACTCCCCTTTTTGCTGCCTTCTGTTCTACTGCAATATTGCCATACGTAGTCCGGATTACAGGGTGGTTGCTCCAGGTCCCGAAGATGTGTCTCCACAACCCCATATACCATGAGCTCCTCCTGCCTCAACTGCTATTGTATCTCTTCCCACTTTAAACCTATTCCTGCCACCCTGCATGTTAATATAGCCTACGTCTGACTTAGCTCGGCCCGTGTGCTTACGTCGATTTCTTTTCTCACGGACTTCGTGTGGCTTGAATATTTGTGCCCCTTTAGGTCCGTCTTTGGCTACACTGTGTGCCTCAGGGCTCTGGGTCCCCCTAAAAAAG